TCAAAGGACCATGGTCCCAGTCCTGCTCCCCTGGAAGCCTGGGAGGGACCAGGGTCCAACGGGAAACCCACTTACGGCTTCCGTGTGAGTGCCAGGCAGCTCCAGCCCCTAGGGAGTCTGGTGGCCTTGGGGTGAAGCAGAGAGCAGTGACCTGGGGGCCGGGCGCATTCTCATGGGAGAGCCAGCTGTGTGTTGGGCGCTCCTGATCCTTCCCACAAGCCCCACTGGCCTGCATCTCACAGATGTGGATACAGAAGCCCAGAGAGGTCAGGCCGTTGGCACGTGGCCTCACTGCCAGTTGGTGGTGGGGACAGGATTTTGAACCCTGGTTTCCCTGCCAACTAACAGGCACGGGATTATAACGGTGGGGGCGGTGCTCAGACCCAGATGGGGTCTTCTCGGGCCCCTGAGGCCTGGTGCCCTTCCATTCTTCCCGGGTTGTCCGACGTGCCTTGTGTTGCCCAGCATCAGTGGGCGACACGTGGAGCCAGGCCGTCACCTTGCGTGAGGCTCACGTACCAGAGAGTTTTACCAGAAGTCACGCTGGTTGCCACGCAGAGCTGTTTTCCTGGTAAGGTCGTGTCCCACAGTGGCTTCCCTTTCATCGATGTGATTGCAGGTGTGCTCAAGTACTTTCTAGGAAAATCGTGACACGGCCTGAGAAGTGATTTCCTGTTTTCCTATTACCTGGACTGCTTCGGTTTCTGCTTTCAAAATTGTTCGAGGCCGGCCAGCCGAAGCCTCTGTGTTAGAAACTCTGCCAGCCTTTGCTTTAGGAGCACATTTAGGAACCCAGATCCTTCCTGAAGCCCAGGGCGTGGGCACCTACACTCGGCCTGGTGCCCCCGGAGCCGTGGGGGGTGGGGAGTGACTGCCAGAGACTCTCGTCCGCCTGCAGTGGGAGGTGTTTCTTGGTCTTCCTCTTAGCCTGTATCTTGAAGGAAAAGTTGCCTTTATAGGCTTCCTCTTCAGCCTTTACCCTTGGCTTTCTCAGCCGGCATAATAGGCCCGAGAGGATAAAGTCGAGGCCTAGCTCTGTTTATAATTCTTGGCCCCAGCGAACGAGGACTTTGAACTCTTCCAGGTGGGACCCGGGAGCAGGGCCATGATGCTGCACCCTTGATGCTCCATCAGTGGTCAGCCTCCACTAATGGCCCCTGTTCGTCCCTCCAGAAGGTGGCAGGCTGAGAAAGCGTCTCTCGGGCACTTGAGTTTTCCAGGGGTCTCTGGGAACCTCGGACCTCCAGAGCCGCCGAGCAGGGCCAGGCTCAGGTGGTCAGGAGGGTCCGTCCGGGCTCATCTCACAAGCACATCTGTGTTCACTGTCACGTGCGCGGGTACAAGAGGCCCTTTGTGGGGCAGGGATGCTGTCACTAAGGCAGAATGTCTCCGTTGGAATCCTCCCTCACAGCGGAGGCCGCTGTGTGCAGCTCAGCTGATACTCGGGGCTGGCGGCTGTGAATTCTGCCATCTGCAGAACTGAGAGCTGTACATCCGTTCATAAAAACCACAGCGTTTAGGGGAATACCCTTTGTCTTTAATTTCCACATTGATGTGGTAAGCCATTTCCCTACGTGCCGGCTCTGTGTTATTCTAACAGTCAGTCATGGTAGGCACTCACATGTACATTTGCATTGGAAGCCAGTCTGGCCTTGCAGATGTGCTGAAAGGCTCAGAGGACAAGGGAGGCCTCATTTCTCTCGAAGGTCCCTGTTCAGGGCCCCGTCCCATTCGTCCCTGGCCGGGCTGACTCAGGCGCTGTGGCCGTGCGGCCAAGTAGCAGCCTTCCCTGCCAGGACGGGGCTCATTTTTCAGAGCGCTTAGCGCTTTTTTGGGGTGTGGGGTGGGATACAGGTCTTCTTTATCGACTCCCCATTTCCATTTGGTAGTGAATGAAGGACGTCGAGTGTGCTGTGTTTGTTATAAACAGAGTTCTGTGAAGCAAGCTTCAGAGATTCCCGGAAAGAGGCTGGGAACAGGCAGGCCTGAGTGGTTAAGCATGGGACAGCCACACACATTGTCGAGCAGAATCTTCCGGAGCCGTTCCCCAAAACCGTGCGGCTTCGTTTGTATCCAGCAGTCTGGATGGTGACATCTTTGCTTCTAGAGTACAGGAAAGCCCAAACCTGAGCCCTGTTATTGGCATAGGTGAGGTTTGGGAACAAAAGCATCA